TGAACTTCATATACTTTTAGTTCCTGGCTGTGATTTTAGGATACGCCTCTATCCTTACATAATTCTGTACAATCAAAATACAACAGTGATAATTCCTATAAACACATCTTCTTAGACAAAGGTAAACCAAACAAATAATGCATCAAAATCAATGCACCCCAACACAGATGTGGCACCTGCAGTTTTATTAGCAAATAAAATCATCTGTGATAAATCTAATCTTTTCAAGAGACAAAAAGAGAATGAAAACAAAAGTTATAATGTATAATATTTCAACATATATACCAGGTACCATAGAACAGAATAAAAGTAGTGCTAGGTCATTCAGTGGTCTTCTAAAGACACACACACAACAAACAAACAAAAATAGGTAAATATTACGGAGTTTTCCCCCATCTGGGTCAGCTCCGCCTATTTACGCACTAGTTCACTTTTCATTCATTAGGCTTATCAACTTTGCTGAAGTTTAAAACGCTGACATGCTGAATATACAACACTGTTGATATCATGTGTTGTATATTGCAGCATGTTAGCGCTTTTAATGCTCCAAAAAAATGTAAAACTGGCCCTAACACAAACCTCCCTACGAGAGTGCTGCAACCTACGTCACATGCATTCTCTTTCACGGAAAGAAAATAAAAATGGAAGACAACGCAGAAAGCTTTCCAAGCAAACAGTACACCGAGACACCCCCGTAACCTTCAGTAAAGTTGGCGAGCCTAAGCAAGCACCAATCAAAAGTGACCTAGTGTATAAGTGGGCGGAGCTGACCCAGATGGGGAGAACTTGTAAGATTTACCCTAAATTAAAATGACACCTTTCAATAATTGCCAATCCTGAAAGGCAGAAAAAAAGTCCCTGAGAATAAACATGAACACATTCAGAAATCAAGATTTATAACAGTGTCGTGTGATGGAAATTTAGAATTCATTGCTTGAGACAGCCACACAAAAAAAAAGCAGAAAATGACAAGACAACAAGGCATAAAACAGCATCCAACACAAAATGACGCGTGATGTCAAAGGATCAGATGACAACACAACTCATCATAGCATATCATATGACAACATATAATTTATGACCTGTCATAACACCATTATACCATGACACAAAAAAGATAATCACATACTGGCATTAACAAAAGACATAAATGCAATTTTTACCCAAGCACACTTTCAGGGTGGTTGGTGCCAAAGACATTAATCGAATGAAATGTGACTAAATAGTTTCATGAAAGGGTGAAGCAGAACAATGTGCACAAAACAGAAAAATTTATGTTTCAACCGGAGCCTTTCTCCACAAGACAACAAAAAAAAAGAAAAAAAAAGAAAAAGAAAAATGTTTTCCCTAATGGGAGGTCATGCTAAAGGCACACGTGAATTCCTACTCCAAAAAGGTCAAAATATTACTTTTCATTCAATTACGCAGGAGCAAAATACACATTTCTCGAAGTAAGGATTGTTCAAACAAATCATGTTTCCTGAAGCAGGTGTCTCTCGGTTTCTAAAATCAATGTTTTTTTGTTTACCAGTTGAGCTTTTTTCTGCAGGTCATAACATTTTAAGCTTCACAGATTATAATGAGAGATGGGACAACAAATTTCCCTGTTATATAAAAACTATAAAAACTAGAAGAAAGTTTCAAATTTTTTTTTTCAACTACAGAATGTTAAAGTGAGATTTTCCCCCATACCAGTTGTACATCAAGCATGGGGACTAGACTCATAGTTTTATAGACCAATCGTCCTTCGCTGGGTGATGTGATGGGGTCAACCTCACATGGACTTTACTACCAACATAAGAATGGGTCGATCTGGCCAAAGTAATGTTTAAAAAAAATCTGGCCCCATGTGGTCTGACCCACAACCTTCGGATCAGCAGGCAAATTTTTCGCAGACCGAATGTTAATAACATTAATTGTGATGAAATTAGGCACTGAACAAAATCACTTCATAGTATAATCAAAATTTATGGAGATTAATTTAGATAAAACTATTAATTATCATTTTATATCTGTTGCTTTTCAGTAGGTGATAAAAGAATGATATGATATGTTTGATTCAACAAAATGTACTGTTTCCACCAGTTCTGAAACTTACATGCTCCAATCACACTGCATATTATCTGTTTCAATTTTCCATGTTGGTTTGTCAAATTGCTTTCAGAAAATCAAAACATTCGTTCATTATTTTGTTTCCTGCATCCCCCTATTCATTTTCAACATTTCATGCCACCAAACACTGATTCTCATATCATTTCCTCTACCCAGTCAGCCAATCAAATACTTTATACAGTATTGCCCTGTCCTCCACAATCAGCCAATCAAAATATTCCATCAATGGTTTGGTTTGTAGTGTCACTTCTTCCACACATGAATCTGCCAAGCATCCTCCTTTCAGACAAAACAAGAACTTTCGATGAATCTATATATACATGATGAAATCTTTAGTGGCTCACCGGTGAACATCTTCTGCTCAGTATCAAGGCGCAAGTATTTGCTTTCTCCAGCACGGTTATATTATGAACAAGTACAGTGTTAACAGCATCGGACACATTAAAACAAAATAAAGTCATAAGTTAGATTAAAATTGAAAGACAGGTTCAATACTCTGAAATTATAATTTCTCCATTGACATTTGGCAGTCTCAGATCAGTAGCAAAATGTACAGGAAACAAATTAAATCTTTGATTGTAATAACAAAACCGCATAAATGATATTGCCTGAATGAAGCCCACATGAGGTTTGTGGGGGTGGGATGCTTTCCATGAAGATATCAAGTAAATCCGTTAGGTGAAGAATAATTCATTCTGTGAGAGGGAATTCTGAACTAAAACACTGATTCAATTCACGATAGGGTCAAGGTTTAAAGCCAAATTCACCAACTTTTTTTTCAAGGATCTTTTTCAAACCCTTGAGGCTCAAGTTGCTGTTCCAGGATTTTTCAAGGTTTCAAGGAGTATGAAGATTCCTGCAGTGTGAACTAAAACTAGTGAGTCCTGACCTGAAGACATTTGTTCAATCCATGGTGAGTTTCAACCAATATTTTTAAATCCACGCAAGCATAGTTAAGCGTAGACCTTAGTTGAAATCATTTTGAGTTTTAATTACGATTACTTAAATCCATGGGAGTTCCGGTGGTGGAACGGCTAGACTCTCGCTGCGGATCGGAAGGTCATGGGTTCCCTCCCTGGAGGAGCCAGACTTTTTTTTTTCAAAAATGACCTTTGTTTCCAGGTCGACCCAGCCTTGAGTGGGTACCGGGTCAGTCCAGGGAAGTAAAGGCGGCCGGCGTGATGCTGACCACATCACCTATCTTGTGCCGATTGGTCTATAAAATATAGGTCTTGCCCTATATGCCTAAAGGCATGGAAAAGGGTCCCTTGTTTTTTTTACTTAAATCCATATGGGTCCAATTGAACTTTGACATTCATTCAATCTATGGTAAAACCACTTAGAATCAAGCAATTGGTTCAATCTAAGGGCAACAGAATCTGAGACTGTTAATTAAAAGGTCAGACATGACTGAACTAAGACTGCTATTATCTAAGACTAGGTTTGAATTCTCAAATTCTCTCACTGTGCCAGACTTGAAAATAATCAGTCCGAGCAGTCAAAAATGAACAACTAAATCAATATAATTACATTAAAATAATAAAATGACCGGTCCGGCGTCACCACTTAAACTAATATACCGTCAACATGAATGAACAAATATTTAGATGATTCCTTTGGAGTTATGCTTCCTTATGATGAAAAATTTCAAGATCACAACTTGCAACCAATAATGGTAATTTGTAACCATATATTTCATTTTCAATCAACTACAGAAAAAATGAATACACTATGATATTAAACAGATATCTCCAGAAATGCACTAAAGCCATGGAAATGCACAAAGCATCCACACAATGTGTACTGCACTCAAGATCATATGCTACACTTTTAAAGAAGTTTGCAGTTCATCCACAGAAATATTTAGATAACTACTGAAATGCAGAAAAATGTGCATCCACACAAATGAACATAACACCCACAGAGGTGCACAAAACATCTAATGGTAATAAGCAACTCATAACTTTGAGGCACTTATAAGGCAGAAGAAAGTTGGGATATGCTGATGGAAACTGCAGATGTATGTAGCCAGGTAAAAGAATGAATGGTGGCCATTTGCTTAAACATTGTCAAACATAAATATAACAGAGCATTTCTGGCATGTCCTAACATGACATTGTGCAAGGTGATAACAGCCTCAAATGGCCAACTTCCTTCTACAGGTATTTGAACATTGATCTACAATTTTTTTTAATGCAAACACTAGGCTGTTTTTTATGACAATGCAACATCAAAACTAAAGAAATATTTACAAATAAAATTCATTACCAAATTTATTAAATGTAACTCTGTCATAGGAAAAAAAAAACCCAGCCACATGAAGTGGTCATACAGTTATTCAGGAAAATGGAAAGTGTAGTGTAAATTAAACACAAACAATAAAAGAAATATTTTTAAATGCAAAATATATTATTTTAATATCTTTATAATTTTTTCCAAGTAATTCCTGGACTTACCAATTAGAATTATGTACACATATTGGCTGTCTTATCTCTTTCCAGATCTTTTTTATGATATGAAGTCATGATTAAATTAATAGTGGAATAAATCTGATTCAATGTCCACTTGGTTAATTGTTTACATGAAAAGTGGTTGCTCAAGACAACAGCATTAACAAAAACAGTTTAGTTCTTCCAGAGAACAGTGAAATCATCACCCAAAAAAAAAAAAAAAAAAACACAGGAAAGATGTACCAGAAAGTAAGCAATTTTAATGCTCATCCCTGCACAGATAAAAAAGATTGGCAGGTCACTTGTCACAGTGCCTCTGTATCAATAAGCAGCAAGAGATGGAAAGAGACAAAACAGCAATAAAAGAATGAAGCTGAAGACCTAGCAATAACTATTAACGCCTTGACCATTGCACACTTTACAAGTGACCACTGACAGTTAATTACTGCTGTTTGTTTCTTTTTCTTCTTCTTCATCATCATCATCCATAGAGACATTGGTAGTTTCATCATCATCATCATCAGAATCAGGGGGCACCAGAAGTGCCACAAGCTGAGCAGACAGATCCACGGAACATGGTACCAGCCGTTCCTTTTCTCTGTAAACAACCTGATGAGACAAGGCCCTTCCCTGAAGATAAAAAAAAAGATTGAAGAAAATGTTTACATACTATAACAAAACAATGAAGCCCCCGTGTGGGTTCCGGGGTCCCATTGTGGGGAAAACAAGAATAGACCCACTGCCTCCCCAAAAGCATGTCGTAAGAGTCGATTAATTGGGGAGCTTCCTTTGAAGTCGGAGTGCATCTGCCGGAGAGGCAAGGAACCAACAGTCTGTATTCAAGAGAATGAGATCTGTAAAACTGATGCACACGCAACACTCAGGTTCTGGAGCAGGACTGCAGTTCAGTAATGGACGAGCAACCAGAACTTTCCGCCAGAGTGTACAGCTGGTGAACGCAAAGAAGAAGAAGAAGAAGAAGAAAACAATGAAGGATAAGAAGATGGTGTGCTCACTAAAAACTAAATTTGTAGCAGATTCCATGAAAGCACATGTCCTAAACTGCTCTGTGTACTTCTTATAGTCCAGGCCTTGTGGCACTCCATGTGGTAGTCATGTTTATCCACAATTTTCTATCTTATATACTGAGTTCCAGCACAGATGGTCATCCATGACATGATGTCAAACTGTCCAACATCATGTCTCTTGGTTCCCTTCTGCCTCTTGTCCCCTCCAACTATCCGACCATCACAACGTAGTCGTTCTTCTCCTCCTTTCATGACCAAAGACTGCAGATTGCCTCCCCTGATATTTCCTTGTAAACTAGTTTCTTTCAAGAAATCTTCAGTACTTTACCCCCCCCCCCCCCCCCTTTCCTAATATGTCTAGGGTATTATCGTTCATCTATAAAACAGCATCGTAATATAGTTTTTAAAGTTTCTGTATCTGTAATTACTATGTTTTTAGTAGTATCAGCTTTCTGCTGGCTTGAGAACAGGCTGCACACATTGTAAAAGACAGCATGCTGAAAAAGGTAGAGAAAGGCGAGCTCCATGCAGAATGGCAAGCATCATTTCAGACGTGGTTGGTAGTTAGCATCTTTTGGATCTTTTCTTAGGGGGATGCATGTGTGGTGAGAAACAAACAGGCAGAGAGATCAGCTCCATGAGAAAGTCAAGCCCTGAGGAAACAGAGCAACTTGGAAGCACAAATAGATCATTCCAGACTTGAAAGATTGGGTCAGCAAGGTATTGGCCGGGGGATGTGGCTGACACTTGACACTCAGAGGACAGGCAAGGACATACAATCAGGACTCTTGATGATGATGATGAAACTATCAATGTCTCTATGGATGATGATAATGATGATGAAGAAAAAGGTAACTGCAGCAGCAATTAACTCGTGCATGACATGTTTGGTGCATGGCAGGTATGGTGCACACCAGGTATAGTGCACACCAGGTATGGTGCATGGCATGTATGGTGCACGGCATGTATGGTGCACGACAGGTATGGTGCATGACATGTATGGTGCACGATATGTATGGTGCATGACATGTATGGTGCACAGAAGAAGAGCGTGGAAAACAGAATGGCAGAGAGAGAGGCAGAGGAAGGGGCAGTGCATTTAACATGTAGCCCAAGATTCTACTAACCGAGGCTTCAAGTCTGGGCCAGATACCCATAAATGTCACTTTTCCTACTTGTCTATAAAGACCTGTTTATGAGACATTTACAGTTCATGCTACTGTCTGTATTCACATCTGCTCAAATGTTTATAAGATCAGTTTCTGAATATATGGAACAGATAGCATTTAGGGTTCCCTTTTAAACTTCTGAATATATGGAACAGATAGCATTTAGGATTACCCTTTAAACCAAACTGTTTTTTTAAAAAACCAAGTAGAGGTCATATTTTACAGCAAGCCCCGGTGATGGAGGTCATGGCCCCTGATATATATATATATATATATTTGTTTATGTTTAATCATTAATTCTTTTATTCATCATTATAAATTGAGAAAAACCGAAGAGGGGGGGGGGGGGGGGAAGGTTTAAATAAATAAATATACATTAATACAATAAAACCCCAAAAAAACTAGTAGTAGCCTGTCTAAAACTGTTAATTTTTTAAAATTTATACTAGGTCATAACCCCCCCCCCCCCCCCCCCCCCCCCCCCCCCCCCCCCCCCCCCCCCCCCCCAGTGTTACCAGGGCGAGAGCAGGTTAAAATATAAGATGAACATAGAAGAAAAGAGAATTTATAACATGTCACCGCCTGCTGTAGACAAAGACCCTAAGAACCCTTAAAAGAGAAACAAAATAATCAACAACCACATAAATGTGTAATTCAAACCAAAACTGCTAACCAGCAGACAATGTTTACACTACATTTCTGAGAGAAATAGAAAGCAAAAAAAGGGTGTGCGACTACTACTGCCTCTAAGTCACTAAAATTCAACAAAGAAAACTGCTGATCTTTTTATGAGGAAAATGTATAAAACACATTTTTTTTAAACCCAGACAAATCAAACTGCAGCTCTACATACCACGAGACTGTTGAAAAACTGCCTTTAATATACCACTCTTGCAGTATAAGGCGGGGGAGCGGGTGTGTCGAAGTCTGAGGATTTAGGGCCGCATAGCTAGTGCTGTTGCCACAGACTGTGCAGGTTAGGATTTTATTTTACTATGGGGCTAAAATTTCTAAATAAATAAAAAAAAAAATAATAAAAGAAAAAAAAAAAAAGAAAAGAAAGAAGACCAGTTTTATCCATAACGCTACTAACATTCTTCACAAAAGCAACAAATAAAACAGGAAAATGTCCGCCTACCAGTAAACCCAAGCCCACATTGTGTGTTTGTATATTATGGCAGTCTTCCGGCTTGACCTTGGAGAAGAATTTGACAGAGGTCTGACCAACTTCCAGCATAGCCCGAGCAAATGGGGCCATCCACTTGACACAGCAGTAAATATCTTCCCATTTGAAACCTGCAACAAAAAGTGACAAGCGGATGTGGTGATACAGGATCAAATGGACTGCAAAAGAACAGACATACACTGAAAGACTAAATGCTGGGGTCAGATAGCTACTTTGGATGAAAAGCGGTCTTCATCACTTGTGATGGACGAACAACCAATCACTTGTGATGGATAAACAACCAATCACTTGTGATGGATAAACAACCAATCACTTGTGATGGATAAACAACCAATCACTTGTGATGGATAAACAACCAATCACTTGTGATGGATGAACAACCAATCACTTGTGATGGATAAACAACCAATCACTTGTGATGGACAAACAACCAATCACTTATGATGGATGAACAACCAATCACTTGTGATGGATGAACAACCAATCACTTGTGATGGATGAACAACCAATCACTTGTGATGGATGAACAACCAATCACTTGTGATTGACGAACAACCAATCACTTGTGATGGACGAACAACCAATCACTTGTGATGGACGAACAACCAATCACTTGTGATGGACGAACAACCAATCACTTGTGATGGATGAACAACCAATCACTTGTGATGGATAAACAACCAATCACTTGTGATGGATAAACAACCAATCACTTGTGATGGATGAACAACCAATCACTTGTGATGGATGAACAACCAATCACTTGTGATGGACAAACAACCAATCACTTGTGATGAACGAGCAACTAAACAATTTTTTTGGGGTTGCGGACAACCAAACCATTTTTGCGGTGACGGACAGGTTCTGGAAAATATTCAAGACTGAAAGGGAAACAGAGGCATATTTTTTTAATCAGTTTGTAGCTGGTAAGTTAGTCTTTCCTTCTGTGCCTAAGGTGGGGCATAGGGCAGAGGTCATAGCTCTCCATGTCTGGTGGTTCAATGCCACCTGATTTAGATTTTTGGATATTCATTAGGCCCGTGGTTGAGCCTTGCCTGTTGACGGTTCTCTGCAGGGTCTCTTGGTCTTCCCCGTTTTCTGTTCACTTCCGGTGTCCATATGAGAGCTTGATGGCGGAGTCTCAAGTAGCTGGTACTATTAACATTACTCTTCTTGGGTTACAGAAGGAGGGGACAGAGCACATATGGGAATTTCTCAAGTTCAATGATAGCAATTTTTCATTTATTCAATCATTCCAATGCCATGCCATAATCTTAAAAAAAAATGCAATAAGTTTTATATATTAAATAAAACCAATAGGAAGTTAGCAAATTCCTTTCTGTAATCATCTTAATGTTTAATTGAGAATCAACATCACAGCACTAGAGACATTTACATAAGCGCTTCGTCCCTATCTTTAGCAGTAAGCCCAGAGTTCGACTTCCAATGTTAACTAAAGCAGTCTGATTGTATAGCCATTTCACTTGCCCCAGATTTCCTGGTCACTCCTCCCAGTAACACTCTCTTCAGACCATGATGATCCATCTGTGCTTCCACGCTGTTCACTTGCCCCCAAAGAGCCCTTTTAATATCTAGCATGTCATTCACCATCCAAGTTGTGCAGAACCAGCCAGTCAATCTGCCCGTTTATTTCCTAATACACTGGCATTACCTAGGGAAAATATCCAAAGGATGCTAACTACCAGGGACCTCTAAAGTCTCCTTCTTCTTCTTCGCGTTCACCGGCTGTAAACTCCGACTAAAAGCCATGGTGGTTCGTCCACTTCTGGACTGCAGTCCTGTTCCAGAACCTGAGTGTTGCGTGTGCATCCATTTGACAGATCTGTATGCAGACTGTTGGTTCCTTGCCTCTCAGGCAGATGCACTCCGACTTCGAAGGAAGCCTCTGAAGTGATGCATATCACTCTTCACAGAGCATATGGGTCTGCACCTATCCCAACATGCCCTGAGTTGACTGCTATTAAGGCATGTGTACAGCTCATACGGGTCTGCACCTATCTCAACATGCCCTGAGTTAACAGCTATTACGGCATGTGTAAGCTCATTCTTGATTATCACAACTGAATTTTAATGTCCCAACAGCCATTTGCCTACTGACTCTATCTAGGCCTTACCTGTGACTTCTTCTACCAGATTTTCACCTGTGTGGTGGTACAAGGCTGTTGCTGCGATGATGCTGTAGCGGAAATGCATCGAGCCATAATCCAAAAGGCTGAGGTCACACAACTGTAAACATAATCATATTCAGTTAAGATTATATCAGTTTCTTAATAGGCAAGCGCCATTCTACTGTATTTTCAACACCTGCCATCATATTCTCTCTAGGCTCAGTAACTGTCCAGACATTTGTACCCTTTTACAATGCAAGAATCGACATCACGGCACTCAGGACACTCCCATTAGTGCTTAGTCCGCATCTTGAACAGCAAACAAAGAGTATCCCGATGGTACCAGTAACTGTCTGATTGTAAATCCATCTCATCCTTTCCCTGAGTGTTGAGCATCAGCCAGATCCCCAACTCCTCGCAGCGCCATTCTCCTCAGACCATATTGATCTATCTGCGCCTCTGCACTGTTCACTCGCTCCCAAAGGGCCCTTACAATATCTAACTTGTCATAGATCAATTCACCACCAAGTGGTGTAGAGCCAGCCAGTTTGTCTGTCTGATTATTTGCGAACAAACCGACATGACCTGGAGAAAATATCCAAAGGATGCTATCTACCCAAGACCTCTGAAGTGATGTTTGCCACTCTGCACAAAGCATCTGTTTTTGCTGTACCCTTTTACAGGTGTAAATTAAGTATTTCCTGTCATTTGTTTTGATTTTCAGAAAATGTCTTAATTCTTTGTACTGCCTGTTTAGTGTTTACACTTCTGCACCATTAAGGAGACTCATATGCATATAAATGTGTGTGCGTGATACATGTATAGAGCTATAAATGTGTGTGTGTAATACATGTATAGTGCTTGCTATAAATGTGTGTGTGTGATAGATGTAAATGCCTATAAATATGTGTGTGATAGATGTATGGCTTAAAATATGTATGTGATACGTGCATATGCCTATAAATATATGTGTGTGATACATGTATATGCCTATAAATATATGTTGTGTGATACATGTATATGCCTATAAATATATGTGTGTGATACATGTATATGCCTATAAATATGTATGTGTGATAGATGTATATGACTATAAATGTGTGTGTGTGATAGATGTATATGCCTATAAATGTGTGTGTGTGATACATGTATATGCCTATAAATATGTGTGTGTGATAGATGTATATGACTATAAATGTGTGTGTGTGTGATAGATGTATATGCCTATAAATATGTGTGTGTGATAGATGTAAATGCCTATAAATATGTGTGTGATAGATGTATGGCTAAAAATATGTATGTGATACGTGCATATGCCTATAAATATATGTGTGTGATACATGTATATGCCTATAAATATGTATGTGTGATAGATGTATATGCCTATAAATATGTGTGTGTGATAGATGTATATGACTATAAATGTGTGTGTGTGATAGATGTATATGCCTATAAATATGTGTGTGTGATAGATGTATATGACTATAAATGTGTGTGTGTGATACATGTATATGCCTATAAATATGTATGTGTGATAGATGTATATGCCTATAAATATGTGTGTGTGATAGATGTATATGACTATAAATGTGTGTGTGTGATAGATGTATATGCCTATAAATATGTGTGTGTGATAGATGTATATGACTATAAATGTGTGTGTGTGATACATGTATATGCCTATAAATATGTGTGTGTGATAGATGTATATGCCTATAAATGTGTGTGTGTGATACATGTATATGCCTATAAATATGTGTGTGTGATAGATGTATATGACTATAAATGTGTGTGTGTGATAGATGTATATGCCTATAAATATGTGTGTGTGATAGATGTATATCTAAAAATATATGTGATACATGCATATGCCTATAAATATATGTGTGTGATACATGTAAATGCCTATAAACATGTGTGTGTAATAGATGTATATGCTAATAAATATGTGTGTGTGTGATACATGTATATGCTAATAAATATGTGTGTGTGATACATGTATATGCTAATAAATATGTGTGTGTGATACATGTATATGCTAATAAATATGTGTGTGTGTGTGTAGATGTATATGCCTATAAATATGTGTGTGTGTAGATGTATATGCCTATAAATATGTGTGTGTGTGTAGATGTGTATGCCTAAAAATATGTGTGTGTGTGATACATGTATATGCCTATAAATATGTGTGTGATACATGTATATGCCTATTAATATGTGTCTGTGATAGATGTATATGCCTATACATTTATGTGTGTGATACATGAATATGCCTATATATATGTGTGTGATAGATGTATATGCCTGTAAACATGTGCGTGTGATAGATGTATATGCCTATAAATATGTGTGAGTGTGATAGATGTATATGCCTATAAATATGTGTGTGTGTGATAGATGTATATGCCTATAAATATATGTGTGTGATAGATGTATATGCCTATGAATGTGTTTGATAGATGAATGCCTATAAATATGTGTGTGTGATAGATGTATATGCCTATAAATGTGTGTGTGTGATAGATGTATATGCCTATAAATATATATGTGTTATAGATGTATATGCCTATAAATATGTGTGTGATAGATGTATATGCCTATAAATATGTGTGTGTTATAGATGTATATGCCTATAAATATGTGTGTGATAGATGTATATGCCTATAAATATGTGTGTGATAGATGTATATGCCTATAAATATTTGTGTGTATATAAAACTACACCACTTTCTCCTTTTAGAAGAAAAGTAGTTAGTGTGGAAAGTAGAGAAGGTATGAGTTTCCTAAATCAGTGTGCAAGAGAGAGAGAGAAAGAGAGAGAGAGAGAGAGAGAGAGAGAGAGAAAGAGAGAGAGAGAGAGAGAGAGTAAAAGTGTGTATGCTTGTATCCGTGCACTCATGCCAGTTTGTAAGTTCTTTCACTCATATTCTATCACTCTCTTTGGAGCAATCAACAATTATCTGAAAATCATCAGCCTTTCCTATGCTGATCAATCAATTAGGTGCCATCTCCACAAGGAAGGTTGGCTGCAATGGATCTCCAACATGCTATGTCTCTTGTCCTGGTAGCACTCTCTCAGACTGCTACCCGAGAATCTCTTGATCTTCTCCAACTTGTTTCATTGCGCAGTTCTTGCTCTCTTGCCTTCGACCTTCCCCTCCAGTATGGTTTTTAAAAGTGCATTTTGTCTTTTAATGTGGCCAACAAATTTCAATTCTCTTTTTTAAATTCTTGTAGTAATTCTCTTTTCATTTGTAGCCTTTCCAAAACCTGAGTATTGGACTTTTTTTGTTTCCATGAAATATGACACATTCTACTATATACCCACATCTCCAGAGACTTAATTCAATTTTCTAGTCTATGCTGATAAGCATCAGTGTTCACCATTTGCCATTTCCCTTGCTCATCAGTTCAAATGTTCTTTTGAAAATAAAGCCACTTAAGTATTATTTCTGTCTTCCTCTTATTCACAACTCAAATCAAAGCAAAACATGAATTTTTTTTTTTTACAAATTACATATTGATTATCTAAATAAATACATGACACATAATATTTAAAAAACAAAACAAATACATATTCTGAGAACTCAAATAACACTACATATCCCAATTTTAACCATAAGGGTTGAACAGGATATTTGTGTAAACTATTACTACTTCTCTTACTCACCTTCACTGTTTGCTATTTTCATCCAATTTTCTAGTTTTACCCTTTTCATTCCCAGTGAGCTGCTACTTCATTGCAGCCTATCCTAGTATTTGTCTACTTTGGACATTTTTTTGTCTTACAGACTTTAAAACTACAGCTTTGGTCACATTAATGTGACAGAAAAAGTAAAGAACTGTAAAGATAAATAATCAATTAACGTACTGTGTGGAACTGAAAAAGTAAAATCACAATCAAGAAAGGTCTGGGCTGTCTATGTTTCAATTTCTTGAAACCGATCGCAGTTTTTATCATTTATTTTATGTCTCAGTTTTTATCATTTTTTTTCAGGAACCACGTTAATGATTGTCTCATAAAACTGTTACTATGACTACTGTCTGTTTTACCACTTTTTAGGGCGGTGTAGATGGGGAGGGGGCAATGCCTTGAAACTGAGAATTTAGGGCTGCCTGGCTAATGCTGTTGCCATAGACTACGGAGGTTAGATGTTTTAATTTTGCCCCTGATAGAAAAACGTCACCTTACAGGGAGTGGTGCTAGTCTCCCTCATGCGAGCCTGTTATTGTAACTGCTCGACCAGCAGATCCTCCCATAAAAAAGCAAAACTCAGAAAACCAGAAACTACATGGTTTCACCAGGACGAGCCTTACCCTGGATAGCTGGATAAAGGCGTGTGTGGAGAACTGGGGAAAGACAAAACCCAGATGATCATCTGTAAGATGTTCAATGTTGGCCACCTGTAGATACACTCCCAACCATGCATTTGTTGTCATCGGAGTTAAGTCCCACTTCAGCGCCTGAAAAAAAGTATGCATGAATCAGTTAGGGTTGAATATTTTGTGCTTCCACACGCACAAGAAGAGGTGAAATATTTCACATGAAGCTCTAATTTAAGACTTAATATTTAGTGCTTTCATACACACACAAAAGAGTGAAATATTTAACACAAAACTGATTTAAGACTGAATATTTGGTTGCCTGACAAAGGTTTTTAACTCTTTCACCCCATTGATTTATTTTTAAAAAAAAAGGCTTTCCTCCGAACTTCTACCCCCGCATTATGACGGCCTGAAATATCTGTACGGGGCTCAGTGCTATTAAAAATATGCCAACTTCCGGAGACGAACAAATCGCGACAAAACTAGGATTACCTGACAATTTCAAGAGATGCAACACTGTAGACGATAGTAGCAAACGATAATAGCGACCGTTGACAATTTCGAGCGTTTCTGCAAATGATACTAGCGACCATTGACAATTTGGAGATACGCAAAATTACTGACGATAAAAGCCACATGGCGGGGAAACCATGTGTGCCGACGCAGATTAGCGTCGTTGTTGTCCTCAAACTTTTCAGCATGAGCAAAACGCCGATGAGTATCCCCTGTGCCGGTACACGCGGCGCGGATGGGGAGCTAAACTAGGTGCCTGGGACTCACGAGCAAATTAACTGAATGAAGTTGCAGGAGATGCGGTAACTGCTGCTCGTGAGTCCCAGCCATCTAGTTTAGCCCCCATGCGCGCCGCTATGCTATGAAGGGGGATACTGTCGGCGGTGAGGCATAGTCACAGAAACAGGTCCGCAATTATCATATCGCTGAGACCCTGTAAGAGCATTTGTTTCGCTATATGGAGCCGATCCTAGTTTTGCCGCGATTCGTTCGTTGCCGGAAGTTTGCATATTTCTCATTGGACTGAGCCCCTTACGGATATTGCAGGTCACCATAATGCGGGAGCAGAAGTTTGGAGGGGAGCCAAAAAAAAAAAAAAAATTTCGAAAATGTGTATTTCGTAACATGGCTCTGAGCTTTACAAATCTGTAACTCACAGAAGCTGTTGCACCCTAACTTCTATAAATAAAGCTATTTTCCACAATGAACTACAATCTAAAAAGCTTTTATTAAAAGGCAACTATGCTCATTCCCAGTCATTCTAAAGTGCTTAGGAAAAGACTGACGCACCAATGTTAGAGGGGCTCTTCGTAAACAAGCCTCTATAAAAAGCCAGGAAAGAGACATTTACAGAACCGTGGCACTAACCAGAAGTGCCAGGTTTTGTACTTTTCAGGCGAGAGGGTTAAATCAAGACACAAATTTAATAAATATGCAAGCTCTGATATTGGCCTAGTATACAGTTCATGTATAAGGAAATGTTCTAGGAGTTAAAATCAGTTCACATTGTAGTGATATCCCCTGGTGAGTTGTGGAATATCCTGTAAAATTATGCGGCCCATGTCAAATGCCTCAAGGTGTGGAAAAAAGTACTGTACTGACTGGTTCCCTGTATACTTTTGTATTTCCCAGGACAAAACTGAACAGGGAAACTGAGCTGCAACACGCATCCTCTGTTTGTCTTGAAAAAAAAAAAGAGGCTCATGTCACGTCCATTTTTGCATACAAGTTGGAGTCTCTGTGCCTTTTAACAAATACATCAGACGTGGTGCAGAACATACTGGACTGAATTGACATTCATTCTGCCCGCATGTGCGTGCATACAGATTTTCTCAAATGATTAATGGTAGCCATAGTGACTGAACTGTAGCCATGTTGACTGCAAGGTAATTTAACACTTTCAGTAAATATTTAAACCACCTGTAAAAATTACTAATTTTTCATACTTGTCTAAGAAGGATAGGTTGTTAGTCTTTCTTTGTTCACTGGCTGTAAGCTCCAGCGGAAAGTCTGGGTTTTTTCGTCAATCTGAACTAAGGTTTTTTTTGTGTTGGTCAGGGCCTGAGTTTAGCATGTACATCCATTTTACTGGCTAATTTGAGTGCAGTCGGTTGCTTCTTGCCTCTCAGGCGGATTCACTCTGACTTGGAAGGAAGCTCCCAGTCAGTCGACTCTTCTTCATGATGTTTATCAAAGTGGTACTGGGTCTGTTCTTGTTTTCCCCAAAGTGGGGACCCCGGAACCCACACAGGGAGGTTCTCAGTCCAACACCTTAAGATTTAGGTTGATTTCACACCGCTAAATCACACAACAGATTAGAACGAATCATCGTGCAGTTAGAGTCAAAAATCTGATTCTATAACAATTGGTGGTTTTGCGATGACAGCTTGTCGGACCGTCGATCAACCGATATGCGCCGAGCTAGAGAGAAACACGTCCCGCCATCTTGACACAAACCGGAAACTCCCAAACACAAATCTTCAATTCTTGTGTGATTTCAGTACTAACCTATGGATGCGAGAGCTGGAAATCAACGAAAACTCTAGACACAAAATTAGACAGTTTTGAAAATAAATGCCTTAGAAGAATACTAAATTTCAGATGGTCAGATTTCCGAACCAATACACAAATAAGACAAGAATCCTGGCAAGAGTATGTGTCTAATTTTATACGAAAACGCCGCTGGAACTATGTCGGCCACGCCCTTAGAATGGATAAATCAAGACTTCCTTACCAAGCCCTCATTTGGACACCACAGGGGAAAAGATCTCGTGGAAGACCAAGGGAAACCCTACGTAGAACTATCATCAGGGAAGGCTCGCTCATGGGCCACTCAAACATCCAAGACCTACAACGGATTGCAACGGACCGCCGTACATAGAGAGTCATAACCTCTGCCCTATGTGCCGCACTCGGCACAAGAGGAAAGACTAACTAATCACACAAAAATAAAAACATTTTTAAAAGGAAATGACAAGGTAGAAAACTGAGACAGTAAAAACAAGACTGGTCTTACCTTCAACATGATCATCTCTTGTCTAATGATATCTTGTTCTGTACAAGCACTGTCGGTCATGTATGCAAAATCTGTCAGTTTGGGTGGGTAGATTTCCTGCAGAGGTACCAAACATTCAAATATTACCTACAAAAGCATTAAAGTATTCTATCTTGTAAACTGCTGAAAAAAATTTACTGTAAAAATGTTAACCATTTAATCTTTTTTAATTAGTTAATCGGATTGTTTTCGTTATTCTCCAGAACCCATTGTGTGGGAAAACATGAATAGACTAAGTGCATTCCCCAAAAAAGTGTGTCGTATAAGTCGACTAACTGGGAGCTTCCTTCAAAGTCGTAGTGCATTTGCCTGAGAGGCAAGAAACCAACAGCCTGCATACACCTGTAAAATAGCTGCGCATGCAGATTCAGGTTCTGGAACAAGGCCAAGTCTAAAGGTGGATAAAGAACCAAAACTTTCCACCAGAGATAACAGCCGGTGACCGCAAAGAAGAAATGTTCTGGCTATCAACATTGACCTTGTAATTTGTTTAATATTATGGTGCATTTGGTCTTCTTTAGCACTTGCTGGCTTTAAATTCTGGCGGAAAGTTGACTTCCTTTGACCTGACTTTGGCCATGTTCCAGAGCTTGTTTTGCATGCACATCCAGTTTTACAGATCTGGCTTTTCTGTATGCAGACTGTTAGTTCCTCACCACTCAAGTATACATACTCCGAGTTTGGAGAAAACACTATTAACTGTTCGACAAGCTTGCTAGGGGTACAGTTTGTCTATTCTTGTGCCCCCCAAAAACAGAGCGCCGAAACCCGCAGACTGCTGTATTTTAAAAATTCATTTTATATTACATGTATTCAAGAAACAAATCCTGTAGTTATGATAAATTATTCAGCACTGGGCAGTGAAAAACGAGGTCTAATCACGAATATTTGTTTGTCTGTTAGTACATCACAGTTCATATTAAAGTACTGTCCACTAACATATCACATCTCATGTTAAAGTGCTGTCCTCTAGCATATCACATCATACTCATATGTTAAAGTACTGTCTACAAGCAAATCACAGCTCATGTTTAAGTACTGCCCTATAGCAGATCACATCACATGTTAATATATTGTCTATTAGAATATTACATGACATGTTAAAGTACTGACTACTAGTATTTCACATCAAATGTTAAGAGTACTGTCTACTAGCATATCACATGTAAAAGTACTGTCTTAAAGCATTTCACCTCAAGTTAAAGTACTTTCTACTAACATATCACATGTAAAAGTACTGTCTTAAAGCATTTCACATCAAATGTTAAGAGTACTGTCTACTAACATATCACATGTAAAAGTACTGTCTTAAAGCATTTCACCTCATGTTAAAGTACTTTCTACTAACATATCACATGTAAAAGTACTGTCTTAAAACAGTTCATCTCATGTTAAAGTACTGACCTAGAGTATATTACATCACACGTTAAAGTCCTTTCTACCAACACATCACATCTCATGTTAAAGTACTGTCTGTTAACATATCTAATCCCATGTTAAATACTACTGTCCGCTAGCATATCACATCTCATGTCAAGTACAGTTTACTAACATATCAAATATCATGTTAAAGTACTGTCAACTAACATATCACCTATCATGTTAAAGTACTGTCAACTAACATATCACCTATCATGTTAAAGTACTGTCAACTAACATATCACCTATCATCATAAAGTACTGTCAACTAACATATCACCTATCATGTTCAAGTACTGTCAACTAACATATCACCAATCATGTTCAAGTGCTGTCAACTAACATATCACCTATAATGTTAAAGTATTGTCAACTAACATATCACCTATCATGTTCAAGTACTGTCAACTAACATATCACCTACCATGTTAAAGTACTGTCAACTAACATATCACCTATCATGTTCAAGTACTGTCAACTAACATATCACCTATCATGTTAAAGTACTGTCAACTAACACATCACCTATCATATTAAAGTACTGTCAACTAACACATCACCTATCATGTTAAAGTACTGTCAACTAACATATCACCTATCATGTTAAAGTACTGTCAACTAACATATCACCTATCATCTTAAAGTACTGTCAACTAACATATCACCTATCATGTTAAAGTACTGTCAACTAACGGATCACCTATCATGTTAAAGTACTGTCAACTAACATATCACCTATTATGTTAAAGTAGTAAAAGTACTGTTTTATATTTTGTATTATGTGTATCTGTGTCGGCTTGTATGTCTGCATGTGTGTGAGTGTGTATATGTGTGTCTGTGCATGTGTCGGCTTGTATGTCTGCATGTGTGTATATGTGTGTGTGTGCATGTGTCTACTTGTATGTGTTGGTGTGTGTCTGTGTCTTTGTTGTGTTTGTGTGTATCTGTGTGTGTCTATAAATATGTATGTATATTTCTTGTGTTTTTGCACAGGTGTCTCTATGCATGTGTATATGTGTGTGTTAATGTATGTGTTTATGAGTATATATGTATGTGTAAGTGAGTAGGTGGGTGGGCGTGCGTATGTGGTTGTGTGTGCACACAAGTGTCTGCATGCATCATTAAACCCATGCTTTTGTGTTTTTTTTCTTGATATTCATAATATGTATATTATTATAGAAATAAAACATGTTTTAATGATAAAATACAACTGTTGTGTGAAACATGAGTATTGGGATGCCCAATTTGTGACATTTGAAAACAAAAGTTTGTTTGTTCATTTGCACTGTCCATTAACATATCATATCTCATTTTAAAATACTGCCCACTAACATATCACATCTCATGTTAACTCTACCAGACCTCTGGCCCGCTATTCCAGAATTTCTGAATCTGCCGCTAAACCGCTGTGCCTCAATGTCAGGAATTTGCGTAAATGAGAAACCAATGCGTCACAAACTAAAAATAACTAGCCAGTCGTAATCAGACCTCGTGGTTAGTCATTCCAGATGTCTGCCTGCATGTGTTTGGAATAAATCTGTGTTGATTTACGTGAAAAAAAATGCTGAAAATTCACAATGAAACAAGCAGCTGATAAACCAAGCACTTCAACAGGAAAGCGAAGTAAGTCTATGCTTTTCAGTCCAACGGATGATCAATACTTTGGTTTATTCAGACTCTGCGGAGTCAGAATTTCATGAAGAATACGTTCACAGTTGAAGTGACACAGTCAGTGAGAGCTGGAATGATGAGGACAATCTTGAAAATTATACGTCTAGAAATAGATCGATAGTAGGAGAAGGGGGCATGTCTGTAAAACAACAAAATCTGGTGTTCACTTTGTGAAACAAGGCTGATCCTGCTGAATGGATTGGAACACAAAAGTGGAATACTGGAACTAGATAAAAGGTTAACCTATTTTCTACAATGTCTTCAAGTTTCATCTTAATCTAGCTACTTGTTTGCATGTAACTAATATTTGTGTATATCATGCTGGTTTTTTCGAGTTAATGCCCAGGAGCTCAGTTATAGGGGGCAGTTAGGTTTAGGGCCTCAGGTCTGGTAGGGTTAAAGAACACTCCACTGACATATCACTTCTCATATTAAAGTACTGTCCACTAACACATCACATCTCATGTAAAGTACTGTCCTCTAACATATCACATCTCATATCAAAGTACTGTCCCCAAACATATCACATCTCATGTTACAGTACTGTACTCTAACAAATCACAGATCATTGCCTATAATAGCGGTTAGGACAAAGATTTAACAAAATAATTCAATCAGATCATCTGTTTCAATCAGCGGTTTTCCTGATTTTAGTTTTTGTGAAACCTGACATGTCATACAAAAATGGTCATCACATCCAAAGTATTTAAATTAATTGTTTCATAAAAATACTAGCTAATATATAATTGATCAGAGAAGGCATATACATTCTTAGAAATAGATAGCAGTGTTGCTGAACAAGTAAAAAAAAAAGGTAAGCACACATTTTGTGTGTGGAAATAATCTTCAACATTCTTGAATTGTGTGTGATTTTAATAATAAATATGTTGTGATACTGACATCTAAATAGTTTAGATTTATTCTGTACTCATTTCTCTTTAATTTGATATATTATCTGTCCCTTTACAGCCTATGCTTTTTCTCCAGGAATGTTTTGGCTTTTATATGTTGCAGTACAAACATTTTGCTCAAAACCCCAGAAAAAAATAACATCTTCTTTGCAGGAATTAGTGTAAAGATAAATTACTGACCATGCATTTGATATCTCGACTCTGATTATTAGGATTTGTATCTTTTTTGGTTTTTCAGGCAAATTACTGATGGGGGTTAGCTTTTATTTGTGAGTTCATTAATTAATTTGTGCATTAATTTGCTATTCTGAGTATTGATGTTTCAATTTTCTTGCAGTTTTCCTCCAGCCATGCTTCTTTACAAAGTCTACTAATTTTTCTATGAGTCATATTTTTTATGGTTAATTTTGTAGCTTCTCTCATACATTAGTTTAAAAATGTCTTCAGTCATCCATTTTCTTTGGTCTATCAACGTCCGCTGTAGGATGGATGCTACTGCAGCTAAACTGAATTTTTCACAGTATTTCCCATTGGCCATTACCATGTTGAAATATAATTTCTAAATCAGACAATGTATCAAAAGCTATGTAAATCATCATCATCATCCTAGTGTGCTGTTAGATATCACATAGAGCTCGCATCTGATTACTCCACTCTGCTCTATTACATGCAACTTTCTCTATTTCTGACATGAAGTTCAGCCGAGCATTTTTTTGGGCCTTTTTGTAATAATGTTCTTCTTTTGACATCCCTTTTGCTTAGACTATTTGTTTCCCATTTCAGAGCCTGTTTTGTGATTCTTTACTCATTTTGAGTGTGCCCAGTATATCTCCAGCTTCTTTGTCCTATTGATACAGGTATCTGTCTGGACATTTCTCTGATCTCACTATTCCTGAAATCATTCCATTAACGTTCAGGATTTTTCTCAACACTTATTTTCAGTAAATAAGTAAACAGTAGGTCGAAAAGATGACTAACAATCTGATATAACATAATTTAGAGATGGGTATTCTTTTTCAAGTGACATCGAGAATTTAGATCATTTCTGCATTTTAAATTTGGGCAGAAAAATTACATCAGGAAACAACTCAACTTTCCTTTTTTCGTGATTATCAAGTGTGCATGATCTTATGTTTTCCAACAAAGAATTATTAATCTAAAGGTTGCCTTCTGGGAAATTATCAAAATTGCCAAATAATGCCTAGAAATGGTGACTTATGTTGAATATCACATTCTGGTTAAAATCAGCAGAAATAAAAAAAAAAAATCTTCAAAAAATGGAAAGGACCCTCTTAAATATGACTATCCCAGACAGTCAGCATCTTTCCGAATGCTTTTAATTTATTTCAAAGTACAAATATTTGTACAAGTCTACTGAAGAGAAATGTTCCATAAGGAGACTAACTATGTTCGCTTTATATCCCAGCTTAGCCATTCATTTCTCATTCAACAAAGGCGAGGCTGTAATACAATGGCTCTCAACCTTCCTAATGCAGCGACCCACCAGAACAGTTCCTCATCTTCTGGTGACCCCCAACAATATTTTTATTTTCATTGCTACTTCATAACTTCAGTGAATATATGTTTTCAAATGGTCTCTGGCGAGGACTCATGTAAAAGGGTCATTCGACCAACAGGTTGAGAACCGCTGCCCTAATTGGTCAGATATTTAATCTCACAGGCATTGCTTGATTTCCTTCCTGTTTGAAAAGGTGTGTAAGAATCCATCCCTTCAAATGTTTCATGGCTTTATTTGACAACATTTCTAAACATAACACACACATAAGTTGTGGTGAAAGTTCACTGCTAGCAGACACAGTGAAACCAAGCTTTGCAAAGTCCTTGCTGAAAGATCTACTTAGGTTTACTTTTGTCTTTTTGGTCTGAGCTGCACACTTTGAAGTATCAACATATTCATTCGTCTTTTTGTTTTTGTTTTCTAAACCTGAAGAATTAGTATTTGGCATACATAATGTATCATTATCACTGTTTTCTTGAACACTGTCCTTGACCCTACTAAAGAAGGTTAAAAGGTTTGGTTGGTTGACCTCTTTTGCAGCCCTTTTGAAATGTACCAGCTTGGGTGGATAGACTTCCTGCAGAAGTACCAAACATTCAATTGATATATTACCGGCAACTCCATTAAATTATTCTATCTCATTAACTGTTTAATACATTTACTCCAGATTTGCTAATCATTTTAACTCCAAGAGTTAATCAGATGAATTATTTTATTACAATTAACCTATTATTTTGTGGCCTCATCTATTTCTATGTTCGCTGGTTGTAAAGTCTGGCTGAAAGTCCTGGTTGTTTGTCTATAAGTGGACTTTGGTCTTATTCTAGGACTTGATTTTGCATGCATATTTGTTTTACAGATCTCATTTTTATGCTTACTGTTATTTCATCGGATCTCATGCAGATGTACACTGACTTCAAAGGAAACACCCTTATTTGTATAATACACTTGTTAGAAGAGCAGTGAATATATTCTTTCCCCCCCCCCCCAAAAAAAAATTGAAACCAGGAACGCATACACACAGATTGCATGTTTTAAAAGACTCATTTTATATTATAAATGTTTGTTTGCTAGCATACCACAGATCACGCTACAGTACTGTCTACTAGCATATCACATCTCATGTTACAGTACTGTCTACTAGCATAGCACATCTCACGTTACAGTACTGTCTTCTATCATATCACATCTCACGTTACAGTACTGTCTTCTATCATATCATATCTCATGTTACAGTACTGTCTTCAATCATATCACATCTCATGTTACAGTACTGTCTACTAACATAGCACATCTCACGTTACAGTACTGTCTACTAACATAGCACATCTTATGTTACAGTACTGTCTACTAACATAGCACATCTCACGTTACAGTACTGTCTTCTATCATATCACATCTCACGTTACAGTACTGTCTTCTATCATATCATATCTCACGTTACAGTACTGTCTTCTATCATATCATATCTCATGTTACAGTACTGTCTTCAATCATATCACATCTCATGTTACAGTACTGTCTACTAACATAGCACATCTCATGTCACAGTACTGTCTACTAACAAAGCACATCTTATGTTACAGTACTGTCTACTAACAAAGCACATCTCATGTTACAGTACTGTCTACTAACATATCACATCTCATGTTACAGTACTGTCTACTAACATAGCACATCTCATGTTACAGTACTGTCTACTAACATAGCACATCTCATGTCACAGTACTGTCTACTAACAAAGCACATCTTATGTTACAGTACTGTCTACTAACAAAGCACATCTCATGTTACAGTACTGTCTACTAACATATCACATCTCATGTTACAGTACTGTCTACTAACATAGCACATCTCATGTCACAGAACTGTCTACTAACATATCACATCTCATGTTACAGTACTGTCTACTAACATATCACATCTCATGTTACAGTACTGTCTACTAACATAGCACATCTCACGTTACAGTACTGTCTACTAACATAGCACATCTTATGTTACAGTACTGTCTACTAACATAGCACATCTTATGTTACAGTACTGTCTACTAACATAGCACATCTCATGTTACAGTACTGACTTCTATCATATCACATCTCATGTCACAGTACTGTCTACTAACATAGCACATCTCATGTCACAGTACTGTCTACTAACAAAGCACATCTTATGTTACAGTACTGTCTACTAACATAGCACATCTCATGTCACATTACTGTCTACTAACATAGCACATCTCATGTCACAGTACTGTCTACTAACATAGCACATCTCATGTCACAGTACTGTCTACTAACAAAGCACATCTTATGTTACAGTACTGTATACTAACATATCACATCTCATGTTACAGTACTGACTTCTATCATATCACATCTCATGTTATAGTACTGTCTACTAGAACATCACATCTCATGTCACAGTACTGTCCACTTGCACATTCCAGCTATGTTAGTTGTACGGAACATTATGATTTTAAAAAAAAAAAAAACTTCAAAACAAGCTCACCTCCAGTTTGGAAGCTAGAAGCAAAGCTGAGACACCAACCAGCTGCAGCTGCTCCTTGGGAACATCTTTAGTAACACTCAGGTACCTGTCGACATAGTCCAGGGCCAAGCTGTACGTCTGTTTGTGTAGATGGTGAAGTTCACAGACCTGTTGGAGGTCAGTAGCTGTCATTAGCAACAAACAGTTCACAGCAAAGGTCAAGCAAAAAAAAATAGTTCAGCAGTTGAACAATGAAAGCAAAACTTATTCCATGATAAATGACTGTTTTACATTAACCCTGTCACCACAAGAAGCTGCACAAACCAACGAGGTAATGGGCAGGATAAATGAAGTCAAGGGAAGGTTGCATGGTAAACTAAGTCAAGAATTTTTGCTTAATGAACTAGGTCAGAGGAAGGCTCCTTGATGGACTGAGTCAAGGGAAGGCTGCATGATGGACTGAGTCAAGGGAAGGTTGCATGATAGACTGAGTCAAGGGAAGGTTGCACGATGAACTGAGTCGGAGGAAGGTTGCATGATGGACTGAGTCAAGGGAAGGTTGCATGATGGACTGAGTCAAGGGAAGGTTGCATGATGGACTGAGTCAAGGGAAGGTTGCATGATGGACTGAGTCAAGGAAAGGTTGCACGATGGACTGAGTTGGAGGAAGGTTGCACGATGGACCGAGTCAAGGGAAGGTTGCATGATGGACTGAGTTCGAGGAAGGTTGCACGATGGACTGAGTCAAGGGAAGGTTGCATGATGGACTGAGTCAAGGAAAGGTTGCATGATGGACTGAGTTGGAGGAAGGTTGCATGATGGACCGAGTCAAGGGAAGGTTGCATGATAGACCGAGTCAAGGGAAGGTTGCATGATGAACTGAGTCAAAGAAAGAGTGAATGATGAACTGAGATAACGGAAGGTTGCATGATGAACTAAGTCAGGGGAAGGTTGCATGATGAAGTGAGTCTAAGAAAGAGTGAATGATGAACTGAGTCAACGGAAGGTTGTATGATGAACTAAGTCAAAGGTAGGTTGCCCGATGAATTAAGGGAAGATCGCTTGATTAACTAAGTCAAAGGAAGGTTGCCGATTAACTAAGTCAAGGGAAAGCTGGCAGATGAAATAAGTTATGAGAAGATTACTTGGTGAACTAAATCAAGGGAAAATTACTCGAATTAATTAATTCAAAGGTTTCCAGATAAATTAAGTTAAGAGAAGATTACCTGGTGAATTGGGTTAAGGGAAGGCTGCCTGAAAAACTACACTAAAGAAATCAATGAGTTGATAATTAAACCAGGATAAAAAAGCCACTTCATGAGCCAGTTGTGCACCTACCTCCGATAACCAGTCCAACAAAATTGCTCGCATTCGAGGAAGAAGTTCCGGGTGATTTGTGAAATAAACAGGATTTCTCTGATAAACTTTGAAAGTTGATACTGCATGTTGTTACGTTTTAAATCAAATATGTGCCAGGGTACAAAGTGAAGGTGCTTTTTCTCCACAGGATCATTTGTAAAGACATAGGGTTGGACACATACTTTATAGACAATCGGCACAAGGTGAGTAATGTGGTCAACATCATGCAAGCTATCATCCACCTCTGAACTGCAGCCCTGTTCCAGATCCTGAGTGTTGCGTGTGCATCTAATTTGTATGCAGACTGCTGGTTCCTTGCCTCTCAGGCAGATGCACTCTGACTTTGAAGGTAGCTCCCAATTAGTCAACTCTTACGACATGCTTTTGGGTAGGCAGTGGGTCTATTCTTGTTTTTCCCTATAATAGGGCCCCGGAACCCACATGGGAAAATGCAAATTTGAACACATGACCTTCAGCCTCACAGGCAATCATCTAGCACTCGTACATTTAGTGACTGTGCATATATTAATTGACAAATTATAAAGACTGTAAATATATTTACTGACAATAAGGATTGCACATGTAGCTATAACAATCATAAGGATTGCAAAAAAATAACTTGACAATTATAAGGATTTTATTTGTAGCAACCTACAATTTTAAGGATTTTATCTCATCCACCGACAACTATAAGGATTTCATTTGTAGCAACCGACGACTATAAGGATTTCTTTTGTAGCAACTGACAATTAAAAGGATTTTATTTGTAGCAACTGACAATTATAAGGACTTCATTTCAAGACACTGACAATTATAAGGATTTCATTTGTAGCAACTGACAATTATAAGTGGGTCCAATCACTGCAGGAATGCGCCTGTTGCAGTCTCAATAGGATGACCAGATCGGATCTAATTTTTTTTAAAACCCAGCTATGCACCATTTTGTGGGATAAACAGGAAGCATTTTCTTATGATGTCCTTTGCAGGTAGCCCTTTTGCGCCCCTGCCTTCCCCCCCCTCCCCCCCAACACACAGCACTTTGCTCTTTGAGGGTACACTCTGTAAGTACAGTCACCATTTTGTTTCTGTGTTGCAAATAAGCATGCAGCACCTAGCACCACCTAATGAAGGGAGACATACATTTCGATGTTGCTGTCACCTAATGACACCTTCAAAAACCAGCAACTTCATTTGTGACTTATTTACTTTGCCTCATGTGTGTGTGTGTGTGTGTGTGTGTGTGTGTGTGTGTGTGTGTGTGTGTGTGTGTGTGTGTATATATTTATTCAACACCCACCCCAAAATAACTATACATCAGTGCACTCACTACCAAACTACGCTGCAAAAAAAAAAAATACTTACGAGAAACAAGGTAGGGGTGAAACAGGGTTTGGAATTTGTGGTCTGGCTCTATAAAATGTCTTCTGAAAGTCACGACATCTAAATCTGGCAAAGGAAGTGACTAGGGGGTCTATATCTGAGCTAGCAGCAGCTCCTTCATCGACAGCAGCAGCAGCAGCCGCACAGGAGCTGGCTTGCTCTGGCTCTGGCGACACTGGCACTCTCGCTGACACTGGTACTCTCGCTGACACTGGTACTCTCGGCTTCTACATGACAAAGGGATAATTTATTAATACAGACATTAATATGTACTTTTATGTGTGTGTGTGTGCACCCGCAAAAAGGTGGCTAGCACACCTCAAAGTGTCCATTACAGTACTGCCTGAATGATGCAGCTAAAAAAAAGTGCCATTACTGCTTTCCACCAGTAAAAAAAAAAGCCCTGTCTGTGTATGTAAGCAGGCACAAGTCCCTGTGTGGGTTTTGGGTGGGAAAGAATAATCCAACTGTTCCTCATACCACTGTCGAAACCAACACAAGGCAAATCGCCTGCAGCTGGGATCGAATCAGCACCCTGGCATTACGAAGCGTTCGTATCAACTTAGCCACAGAGCCAACCCCTGACTGACAGAGGACTGAAATTGAACAAAATCGCAAATTGGCACAAAGTCAAAACGAAAACTGTCGATAGAAAAGTTTAGCAATCTCTCTGACAAACCTCTAACCCCCCTCCCCCCACTGGAACTGAATTAACTGCTGTTTACATTCATTTTTGTTTCTGTGTTTAGCTAAATGTCTGATGTGCCATGAAGGAAGTTTTGTTGTCCTGGACTGAGGGTGTAACCAGTTTGATGCACACTGTTCTAGGAGACCTCTGAACGAACAGGTGTGTCTGTGACTCAGGTGTTTTCTTTCAGGCTGCCTGAGCACTGAGTCTACAGTTGTAAAACTAGTGTAATACTTGACTGCAGTACCAGTACCAGAGCACCAGCTACACCAAAACTCTGTTGTAGAAAGCTCCGAGCATAGGAACCAACCGAGTGTACAAGGCAGAGGTAATAAGCGAGCCGACCAATTGGCCAGCAATAAAGCAATGCATGTGGGAAGAAGAATGGACAAAGCAGATATAATCTGCACCACTTTGTGGCCTGGCCTGATGGATGATGATGAATCTCTAACACTAACACAATATCATGACCTGAGAGTAAGCATGGTGAAGCACGTCTATGCCACCTTTAAGGCTCAGCCGTGTCAGATATCATAGATACCAATCCATGTAAGATAGCATCATAGATACCAGTCAATGTCAGATAACATCATAGATACCAGTCAATGTCAGATAACATCATAGATCATAGTCAGATACCATAGATACAATCCGTGCATCATAGATACCAGAAGATAGCACATAGATACAGTCATGTCAGATAACAGATAGATACACAATAGATACCAGATACCAGTCAATGTCAGATAACATCATAGATACCAGTCAATAGCATCAATACAGACACCAGTCAATGTCAGATAACACAATAGATACCAGCCAATGTCAGATAACACAATAGATACCAGCCAATGTCAGTTAGCTTCACAGATACCGGTCAATGTCATATAACATGATACGTACAGTCGATGTCAAATAGCATAGTATATACCATCCAATGTCAGATATCATCATAGATACCAGTCCATATCAGATATCATAGATACCAGTCCATATCAGATATCATAGATACCAGTCCATGTCAGATATAATAGATACCAGTCCATGTCAGATATCATCATAGATACCAGTCCATATCAGATATCATAGATACCAGTCCATGTCAGATACCATCATAGATACCAGTCCATGTCAGATATCACAGATACCAGTCCCTGTCAGATACCATCATAGATACCAGTCCATATCAGATATCATAGATACCAGTCCATATCAGATATCATAGATACCAGTCCATGTCAGATACTATAATAGATACCAGTCCCTGTCAGATATAGATACCAGTCCATGTCAGATATCATAGATACCAGTCCATGTCAGATATAAATAAGAGCAAATTACAGATAACATCACAGATACCAGTCAATGTCAGATAGTTTCAGATACTAGTCAGTCAATGTCAGATAACATCATAGATACCAGTCAATGTCAGATAACATCACAGATACCAGTCAATGTCAGATAACATCACAGATACCAGTCAGTCAATGTCACATAGCATCATGTAAATCAAAGTCAGACAGTATCATGGAAATCGAAGTCAAGACAGTATCATGCATACCAGTCAAATTCAGAATACATCACAGATACCAATCAAAGTGAGCAAGCATCATAGATGCAAAAGTCATGTAGTTAGCATCACCAATGCAATAAGTTAGTTAACAACATATATGCCAGTCAAAGTCAAACAACATTAAATCAGATACCGTTTTTATTTACCGTCAACTTCAGTAACCAACATATTTGTTAATCAAAAAGTAAAACCTCGTGAAACTTGCAATAATGAATGAAAAGTGGATAATCGTTATCAACACTTTCCACGCGAAATCAGTTTGGACCCAACAAGATTACCGTTATCTATAACGTCAACAACAGCTTATGGTAACTGTGGAATTTACACAGAAGAGCGGTCATCATGTGATACCAGGTCTGTTGGTCAGATAAACCCAGCTTTTCTTACATTTCCCATGGCTATCTGGACTTATACACAATCTGGTCTGCAGTGGTTATCTCCATACAATCTCCAGTCTGATAGTTCTGTGAGCGTGGCTGCAGCTGGAGTGGGCTTGTCTCTGGCAAGTTCCTGCCCGTCGCTGCACACGTCACCAAGGTGGACTAAACTTTCACGCGGACCTTGTCCAGTACAAGTCTCGCTGGATACTGGAGAATCATCGTATAAGACAGTGTTTCCCAAACTGTGCGCCCCGGGGAGCCGCGAAATATTCGAAGATAAACTATTTTTTTAAATTTTAAATCTCTTACATACGAATAGTCAAACTTTTATTTAGGTTGGGGCGCCGTAGAAAAGTTTCGGGAAACACTGGTATAAGCGAAGAATGAACCATCAACATTGAATACAACTAGAAAACTCGTAAAAAAAAAAAAAAATAAGAAGAAACAAGCGAATGCTCAGACCAAAGTCTTTATCAATAAATTAAATACAAAAAGAAAGTTTTAACTGCATAAAAAAAAAAAAAAAATCACAATTTCCGGATTACTTTCTTGTGGGTGGCTTCATGTCGCTTACAGCAGCAGACGAAACAATGCACAGAAAAAGGCGAAACTTCGTGTGGATAAAATAATAATAATAAAAAAGCAAACACGACCAGTATAGTTCTGATACTAAATGATTTCACCCGCCAGCTTGGAAAAAAAGTTTCAATATCCCTTATAACGACTTCACTAAAAGTTACGACTGCTGATATTGACGCATATCAAATGCAAACACCAGCCTTTGACATTAAATCAACATAAATTCGATAAATAAATTTCTTACATAATAATAAAGTAAACGTAAAACAGTAAAAACGATAAAGAAAATTATTACGTTGCTGGAATTGTAATCCGAGTATTTATTCACAGATTCTGCTGAAGTATTCTCTGCCACGTTTTCCTCCTCCATGTTTCAGAGTTAGAACATTGCACGATTCAAGAACGGCCACGGCTATTATAACCCCCTCCACAACAAAATAGGGCATGGGCGATGT